AGCCGATAAAATATTAATTAAAAGACTGCAAATTTCACACAGTACATACAATGATTTTTATTACAGCCCAGAATTATTACCGTAAAGTGAAACTGACTTTCACCGCACAGAACATCAAAACAATAAAACATTCAAAAAGCCCATTTGGTTTATGGATTGTCCATCTGTGCAGATTGCTTATTTGTTCCTGTTGCATAACTTCCAAACACATTGGCAAAGGTCGCAAGTTTCGCTTTTACATCACACCCACAGGCGGTTCTCACCAATGTATTCAAGTTAAAGAAACCATCCTTTCTCATTGTCTTCTTGTTCAAATATTAATGATCAGCTCAAAACCGGGATTTTGCTTACAAAGCGACCGTAACAACTGGGTCAAGCCATGTAATTGCCTTGATAATTCGCCAAGTAGTTCCCAATACCAAATATCAACTTCCAATAAAAAGGTTTTCGTCAATGTCAGCTTGCCATATTTGAACTACATTTCGCTAACAAAACACTATCCAGGCAGCTAGTTGAGCTAGAAAACCAAATATTGATCCATACTATTGACCCAGTTATCGAGTTTTGATCAATGTGTATCAATTTTTGGTGGGCGTGTGGCGTAATCAGGTATACTTATAATTTCGTATTCGCGTTCATTTTCATAACAATTGCAACAAAACAATGGATTAGAGTCATGGGGATTCACCAGTTTCGTTTCTAGCACAAGGGTACGCTGTTTTCATAAACCAGTTGATGAATAAAGTCAGTTTTCTTCAGCATGCACCCAATTCAGGGAACAGAAAAGCCTCGAGTAGAAACTATGAAAGTTCAGCTTTCCGCATTTTCCTTGTCTGCAATATGCTGCACTTCATAACTGGTCTATTTTATGCAAATTGGCAAACAAGGCAAAGATTGGTATCAAATATTCCGCATGAAAGCCCTGCGTCTTGTATACGCAATTGCGTGCACAGGCAAACATTATTTGCAATAATGCTTTAAATGCGCCAGCAATGCAATGCTGGGATCATCCATTATTCATAATTGCCGCAAATTCATACTGATGTTTTTTGCAAGTTAGATTAATGGCCGTAATTCTTTGTTCATACACCGAGAAGTTGATGTTTAGGATATGGATTATTGCGTGGGAATCTTGGAAATATCACACAATCCTTTAGAAAAGTCTGGTTAGCTTTGTGAAATTTCTTAGTTTTACCAAATCACCCAAATCCAAACCTCATTGTCAATCTCAACAGTTTGTGGATATTAAAATTGTATTCAGATTTTAATTGTAAAAAAAATTGTAGCTTAAACTTCTTTTTTTGTCCTGCAATTTTCCAAAATATTAATATAGGGCTTTTTGCATTAAAAACTGTAAATTATTTTAATTTAGTGGAAATATTTGCCTTTTGCTCAGTTGAAATCCCACCAAATAGACGACTTTTTTGTCAAAAACACAGACATTTTTAGAACTCGCAATCAAACCAGAATCAAACTTGTCATTGACGATTTGAGCTTTGTCCTCAACAGCGAATATTTGGGTGATTTAGTGGGAACAATTTTCACATTGCAATTTTCTCTAGCAAAGGAGTTCAAAAATATTTTGTAAAATTCCAGAGAACAAATAATTTTCGCTGTGGCAGCAAAAGTTGTAAATTATTCGAATTGAGCGCAAATGTTTGTTGAGTTTTCAGTTAAAATGCTAAAAAATCATCAATACTGTTAATAAATTTTGAGTTTCAACATATTTTGATTTAAACTGCAAATGACGAATCTAAAAGTTCCACGATTGTAGCAAACCATTTTAAAATTCGAGTTTAATGGGAATGTGGGCATTTTTCAGTTAAAATTCCAATTGGAACAGTTCAAGATCTCAAATAGCGGCGAAATAACTGCAGCTGTGCCGTTTCCTCTAAGAAGTTCAAGTATTTTTTTTTTGTTGCAAATGGCAATTGGATCGGTTTTAGCTTTTGCTGCAAGCGTTGTATTTTTATTAACTTAATGAAAATGTTTATATAGTTTGCAGTTAAAATGCCAACCTGAAAAAAATCGTATGGCAAAAAATTACAACTTTTTACCCGTTAAAATGAGACAAAAATAGATAAGTTCTATATTGTTGAGGCGGATTAATTTTTTTACAAACTTCTTGTTGGGTATTTCGCCTCAAAAATTTTTCTCTTAAAAAAAAACAGAATTTCCTCACGTCTTCTATTACAGATTGATAAATAGTGCTCCTATTTCGCAATAAGAACGAATTATTTATCAAAAAGTAAT